CACTATAAGTACCATTTTAAAAAAAATTATGGAGCAACCTACGTAAGTGGAAATTAATTTGCGAATATTACATACAAATGCATTTCAATATAATCAAATATAATATTAGATTCTGGGCAGACGAGGTCACACTTAAACCTTATGTTTAATACCCTAGTTAATACCATAAAATGACTTACAGATTTTTTTAAATTCGATAGCAAGTGCTGTAGCTCCGTCCTTAATCCTGCACTAATTGTTCCCACCGATTTGTTCCTACATGAGGTTTCATCGTCACAATCAAATGATGCATCAAGAAGATTACTCATAGAACTTGACATAACTTCTGTATTTTTTTCCACAAAATTATTCTATAAAAAAGTTATTGTATTTAATAAATATGCTCAAATAAATGTGGAAAAAAAACATACCGCTGAGTATGTCACTTCTTGCGCAAAGTGTCCAATCTTAAAGCAGTCTTGATAGCTTCCATCTCTTTGTATTTTTGCAAGACGAAAATGCTTGTGAGTGGTACATGCTTCTTGAATTTTTCTGAGAAAATTCTCTGATGATGATTTCAGTGCTTTTGATTCATCTTCTAAAAGGGTAAATATGCCATTCATTTTGTTATCCGGGTAGGAATATCAAAAGCAAGCACTCAAAAAAACTTACTCCTAGCGCCACCAACCTATAAGTTGTGTATTGTGAGAGCCAACTTCAGACAGATTGTATATATGTGACAACTATTTTTTGACATTTGTAAAACCGGCAATTAGGTGTTTGTGTTTCAACTATAAACATTAAACATGCGAAAAGTAATTTTGCTTTTTTTTATAAATCATCATTTTACTGTGACTTTTTTTCTTAATTTTTACATTTTTATTTTTTTGATTCATTATTGGTTGTTTTTTGTGCTTTACTCTCATTTTTTCCCTGAAATTTTCATAATCAGAAGTTGCCGAATCAGCTTTTGCCGAATCAGCTTTTGCCGAATCAGCTGTTGCTGAATCAGCTGTTGCCGAACCATGATCTATTATCTGTGAACGTGTGAATAGATCAATCAACAATTTTTTTCAAAATACTTACATTTGAAGAAAATGTGCCTTTAAATTGTGCGGTCTCGAGCAAAATATGTCGCAATTCGGGCATTTGAATTTTTTCTTCATTGGCTGGTGAACATTTTCGACGTGTTCCCGCAAAGTTTGTAAACGAATGAACGATTTTTCGCACATTCCACACTTCTAAATTTCAGGGAAAAAATGGAAGTAAAGCACAAAGAACAACCAATAATGAATCAAAAATATAAAAATGTAAAAATTAAGAAAAAAAGTCACAGTAAAATGATGATTAATAAAAAAAAAGCAAAATTACTTTTCGCATGTTTAATGTTTATAGTTGAAACACAAACACCTAATTGCCGGTTTTACAAATGTCAAAAAATAGTTGTCACATATATACAATCTGTCTGAAGTTGGCTCTCACAATACACAACTTTATTGAGTGAATGCTTTTGATATTTCGACTTGTTATAACGATGCATTCACGTTTTTTATTGCCGATTAATATTTTTTTATGAATAAAACATTTTTTTAAAAGATTGGCAATCATAATATTCATTAAATTAACCACTAGAAACATATTTGTGGATTCATTTCGTTTTGATATTAGAATAGTAATCGATACGAAAGTAGATGGCGGTAGGATGTAAAAATCTTTTTGCAAAAGTGACATTTCAGTACAAAATACGTTTTGATATTCCTACCCGTGTTATCAAACAACTCTGAAAATAGCAGTGTTTCGAGTAGATTAAAAATCTTGAGATTTTTTAGATAGATTTCTAGATAGATCAAATCTAAATCTGATCTTAGATCAATAGAAAAAAGGTATAATAAATCTTATCTATCTGGATCTGGATACAAAAATCTGTATCTAACGAGAGATATCTAAGATTTACAAGCTTAACACCCAAAAGCATTATTTTCTGATTCAGGCCGAATATGACGTTAGTTTTAAGATGCGATCAATTTTTCACAGACTTATCATACAAAAATTCACACAAATTTTTTTTGTATGGAGCCATGCCTTTGTGGTAGCGTAATGACATGAAACTTTACACAGGTTGTTTTTTCCACAAGAAAATTATAGAGAGTTTAAAGTTTCAATGCTTATTAGGGATACCTCCCATACAAAACTTTCGGTTATGAGCCATATATTTATGAGCTATATTTATGATTGAAATTTCTTTAAACTTTGTGAGATTCTTTATATTGATAAGAAAATAATATTCACAAGTTTTCACGGCGATTTAAGTTACTGCAACCAAACATAGACCATAATTTCGGTTTATTCTCAAAATTTCGGTTCCATGCAGAAAAGTCAGATTGCAAATGTAAGGCTCTTTATTTTTTTGTGGCCTACTGCTGCACTTTTCAATCAACTGAGTTATGCTGCATAAGCCTTGGTCAGTAGATAAATGGGTGACCGTTTATAACATCGTATGTAGTCGTAAAATACTGTGTCAACAATTTTTGTGTACAACAAAGGTACAGATTTCATATATTTAATATACATAATTTGCATATTTCTTTTGATTTCAAAATTTTATTTGAATTATCATATTATAATAAGAAAGAGTATAAAAAGAATATAAAGTAATAATGATAATTAATACTATCAATTAATAGTAATGTTAAATTAACATTGATAATGTTGAAAAAATAACATAAAGTAATGGTTATTGCCTAAAGGCCAAATTTTGTCGATGACTTTTTTATTAGTTCAAAATGGCTGCTTCCAAAATTGCACCAAGAATTTCTTCGATCGATGTTTCGCCCCCTTCAGCCTTGGATTTTGGTTCGACTTCCTCACATTTTTGATCGAGATTCGATGAGCCACCATTTCCACCTTCGGCACCAACATCACGATCGATCTTGGCATTGGCCAATGTTTGAACATTGTCACCGACTTTTACGACTGTGTCGCCTGGAATAGAAACAAAATTAGGTTTTT